AGAGAGAAAGAGAGAGAGAGAGAGAGAGAGAGAGAGAGAGAGAGAGAGAGAGAGAGAGAGAGAGAGAGAGAGAGAGAGAGAGAGTGGAGGTCACATCATGTATATACCATGGAGTTGATCATCCAAACTCCCATTCCGTAGGTACTCGTATACCAAAGCGCGATGGCTTCTATCTTGACAGTATCCCACAAGTCGAATCAGATTGGGATGGCTCATCCTTCCCAAAATACTAAGCTCAGCATGAAACTCCTTCTCGCGTGACTTATCTTCTGAGGAGGGCTTCAGAACCTTGAACGCACATACCTGAAAAACAACCAAGTTGAACCAACAGCATTCGGCAATCGCCGTGACAAGGAGTTGGCCTAATAAGCTTTGCCAGAAGGCAAACACCTGATCAGATTTATTGCAGACAACAATTTATTATTATACGAATAAACTTCAACAAAGCCGACTAACAGAATGATCATATTTATTGCAGACAACAATTTATTATTATACGAATAAACTTCAAGAAAGACGACTAACAGAAATGAAGGCGGTGCTATGAGACGATTACAAAGGGTGTATGGTGCGTGGAGCGGATTCACACGTGCATGCCAAGTGCCCGTTGTCAGTCGATTCGACAATGCACCTGCCCATCGCCTATGCTTATATCCCCAAGTCCTTCGGTCCCTCAGTCCATCCTCCCAGCGGTCATACCGACGGCCTATGTCTGCATGCTCATTCCCAATAGCTTTACACGCATACCTCTCTCCAGCCTCCCCTCTCTCCCCTTTTCTGTCAGGGTCCCAAGTCCACATAAGGTACTAGCCTACTACCTTCTTCCCCCGAATACAACGCACCACCATTATGGCTGTATTTAGGGCATCTTTCAGTCTAAATACAACTATAATGACCGTGCGTTGTATTCGGGGGAAGAAGGTAGGGTCCCAATTCCACATAAGGTAGGTGTCCCAATTCCAGATAAGGTTGGGTCCCAATTCCAGATAAGGTAGGGTCCCAATTCCACACACAACGTATAAAGTATAGATGTCAAAATTGTTAAAACCTCCAACGGACCTAAACTTTTTGCTTTGCTGCAACACGGATGTAGTCGGCACCTAGGTCCTGGTGAGCAGCAGTTTCAAAATGATTGCCTCTGATGGGGGTCTCTTGGGTCTCAACTACCAGCACTTGTGCTTGGGTTCAAACCACCACTGCTTCTGATGGTACTCTCAGGCTATGCCTGTACATGTGGGACCACCACTGCTTCTGACGGTACTCTCAGGTGATGCCTGTACAGGTGGGCATTGTCGATACTGCTGGTTCAGATCACCACAGGACAGAGTAGCCTAGGAAGTGCTCAGGTTTCAAGGGGCAACATCTTTTACTAGATGGGCTTTACAGCAATGATGAGGGTTCTGATGGGGGTCTCTTGGGTCCCAAATGAACATTACTGTAGGTTACCCAGCCCGAGTGAGTAAATGGTAGACACAGTGTTAAAACCCTGCTCAATATAATAATGCTACGGCTACTCCATTTGCAGAACACTCCTGCACGAAGATAGCTAGATAAAGTTTGATAAACTGAAATGTTTTTTTACAATAGGTTTTTGAGCAGGTAAGCAAACAGAGGAGATACAACAAAACAACAAAGAGCCTAGCATGCATGTTACCATGAAACGAGTTGCCATTCATTTGACGGTGTGCGGAAAGGAACCAATTACATTGCAATGACCTGCAAAGTTGCAGTCTGCAATTTCGGCAATTTTCTGACAAAAGGCTGCGTGTTGGACTGATTTGCTGCGGTTTCCGAGTCTGAGTCTGTTTTTTCTGTGTTGTGTGTGTGTTTGAGACTCAATCTGATACTTTCTGAGTGTCTAAGTCTGAGTCTGAGTCTAAGTCCGAGTCTGAGTCTGAGTCCAAGTTTGAGTTTGAGCCTGAGTTTGAGCCAGAGTTTGAGCCAGAGTTTGAGCCAGAGTTTGAGTCGAAGTCTAAGTCTGAGTCTGATTTTGAGTCTCAAACGCACACATAACACAGCAAATCGGTCCAACAGACAGCTGTGCCGAGTCTGATTTGAGTCTAAGTCTGAGTCCGAGTCCGAGTCCGAGTCCAAGTCTAAGTCTGAGTCTGATTTTGAGTCTCAAGTGCACACACAACACAGAAAGTAGTCCAACAGACAGCTGTGCTGAGTCTAAGTCTGAGTCTGAGTCTGAGCTTGAGTCTGAGTCTGAGTCCGAGTCCGAGTCCGAGTCCGAGTCCGAGTCTAAGTCTGAGTCTGAGTCTGATTTTGAGTCTCAAACACACACACAACACAGCAAATCAGTCCAATAGACAGCTGTGCCGAGTCTAAGTCTGAGTTTGCGTCTAGGTCTGAGTCCGAGTTCGAGTCCGAGTCCGAGTCCGAGTCCGAGTCCGAGTCTAAGTCTGAGTCTGAGTCTGAGTCTGAGTCGGAATCTAAGTCTGAGTCTGATTTTGAGTCTCAAACTCACACACAACACAACAAATCAGTCCAACAGACAGTTGTGCAGAGTCTAAGTCTAAGTCTGAGTCTGAGTCTGAGTCTGAGTCCGAGTCCGAGTCTGAGTCCGAGTCCGAGTCGGAGTCGGAGTCGGAGTCTGGCCCCTATGTTAAATCACCCGTACACCACATACCGGCCCGCGGGTGTCAGCACGAAACCCGCACCACTTCGGAGGCCGCCAATTTTTTTTTCCAACGGCGCCCCACGCCGTGCGACCCCTCCGAGTTTTGCTTGTGGCGATGACAACTTTCTGCAAGGCTGGGGCCATGTACTTACGGTTTAACTCTTGTTCTCCTGGCAGGAAACGCGATGAGTGGGCAGACAAAAGCACTCTGATGGAAACAGCAGGATCCGACTCGGACTCAGACTCGGACTCGGACTGACGTTGTGGAAAGAGAGGGACAACAAGATAGGGCCATCCCACCTGAGAACTTACCCTGTTTTCCATGCTTCCAAATTGATGTCATACACAGCATCCAAGCTCCAGGGTAGACGACATATGCATCCACCCACCATGGATGGAACAACAGATGTCAAGGAGATTGTTGAGCACCGATATGTACGGGGGGACCAAGAGGGAGATCGAGGAAGATTTACAAAGTCAAGATCCAAGACTACCCCTAAGAGGAGGAAGATGAGTGGGCAGACAAAAACACTCTGATGGAGACCGCACCCAAATTGTAGCAGGTTATGCGATAAGCCTCCGACAACAAAGGAGGGAATGGATTCTTCCACACTTTTTTATATATGGAGGTGGTTTTATCTGATCGACATAAAGCCCGACTTGTTACATATTTATGGAGCTTTAGTCAGTACAATGCCTATCTTGAATCTTCTCTACTATTTTCCTGTTTTTTTACTTCAGCGGCTTACCCTATAGGACCTAGACATAAAAACCAAAATTATCTAGTCCAGAGCGCAGTAGGACCCTGTAGGCCAATTGACATAATTACAAAAAGTAACAAGCTAGGACTACATTCCTGATGTGTGGGTTGCCGAAGAGGGTTTGCCCGAGGACTTCGTCTTTTTGCTCTGGACCCGTTCTGTTCTCGGGGAAGATGGTTTTCCAGGCATTTAGTTTTGTTCCCAGAGGGATTTTGATAGGGGGGTGTCTTCGGATTGGGTCTGTTTCACTTTTGGGAGTGGCCAAGATTTATTGAAAATCCATAAAAGGCCGGATTTATTGAAAATCCAGAAAAGGCCTGTCACGTTGGTTGGAGTAGTAAATGGTGCCAGTTCTCTGATGTGGTTTAGGACTAGTGGTGACCAGTGCAGATTGTCCTGGAGGGCTAGTCTTATAATCCATTTGATTTGTAGAGCTTCGATTTTGCGGGATGGGTCTATAAGGCCTAGGTCCCCTTTGCTTTTTGGGCTGGTTACTATCGGCCATGATACCTTGTGGATAAAATGTGGCTTATCCGGGTTACCTGTCCATAGGAATGCTGCTGCGTTTTTTCTCAACTGGCTTTGAAAGTCTGCACCTGGGAACCAAATGGAGGTGGAATACCACATCATTGCTAAGATCGAGTTGTTTAGTGCTAGTACCCTGCCTAGTAGGGAAGTATGTGTGGTTTTCCGGGTTCGCATTCTATTCACCATTGAAGACAAGAGTGTTGTTGCCGATATATGGTGGCATCCTTTAAGGTTGAGGTTGATCCCTAGGAATCTAATTGGTGAATATGGATCTGTCCATTGTAGTCCTGCCTGGGTTATCTCTATAGGGGGAGTTTCCGCGGTCCACCATCCTATTATTTTGGACCAGTTAACTTTGATTTCTTAGGCTAGTTGGAATGCTTGCATTGCTCTTGTCAGAGCTTGGAAAGATGAGTTTGAAGCCCTGATAAGTACTGTAAGATCATCAGCGAATAGAAGAGTAGTTGGGATGTGGAGGGGTTGACCTTGTTTGTCCATCATGTTCTCTATCCTCTCGATGGATCTATCCTTTCTCAGGAAGGCAGCGATGGCCTCCATAACAAAGAGGAAGATTGGTGCTGCCAATGGGTCCCCTTGTCTCACCGACCTTGTCATTGGGTAGGGGTTCGAAAGGAAACCGTTGACTTGGACAATCCCTTATGCGTCGTTGTAGAGTATTCTTACCCATTTTCGAAAGACTAGGCCTACTCCCATTTTTCCCATGCTTGCCTGCAGGAAGTCCCAGTTTACTTGGTCATATGTTTTTTCAAAGTTGAAAAATAGGATAGCTGTTGCGATCCGTTTTTTATTAATTATCCGTGTCGATTCACACAGAGACATTATGTTGTCTAGAACCTCCCACTCTCAAAGTCAGAACCTAAAAGGGGGGCACTAGCTAGAAAAGGGAATTTGGCAAATCAAGCACATTTGGGACAACCCAAATAAAACATGGAAAACAAAAAGATACCTACGAGAAAAACTTAAAGGAACACATCATCTACAAACTAATCTAAATCACTGTAATCACATTGTAGACTATTCCTCTATAATGGCGAGTGTTATTAAAAACCATGACAGCGGCGGACAAGTGAACCGGACAAGCCTGGACACCGGAAACCGGATTTCCCGGTTTCATCCGAACGTCCGGAGTTCCGGTATTTTCCGGTTAATCCGGACATGTCCGGATCGGCCTGTCCGGATCCCTGTCCGGATGTGTGTACATGTCCGGATTTAAAAAAAAAAAAAAAAAAAACCCTGCTATACAAAGTACTGCAAATGGGTTGAAAACAACGAAAAGGCCATGTGGCACAGGTAGGGGCGGGGAGGGGAGGTTATAGCGAGTACATGTCAACAACCAAGATGAGGGGGAGGAGGGCGAAGACATGTAGCAG